TTTTTTTTTTTTTTTTTTTTGCAATATCCACATTCTTTCTGTTGCTGTAACTAACTCCTTCACTCTATCATTTTGACAGAGAATAGGAAGTCTAGTTGTTATTCAAATGATTGTCCGCTGTGCAAGAGAACCCAGTAAAGAGTTGCTGCTGCCGCGCGTTCAGTTGCGATGACTGTGCGGGTGTGTTCACCACATTGCCAGGAGTCTTTGAAGAAGAAGCACCACTGGCGGCATTTGCCCGTTCCGCCAGTATTTGCTCTACAGGTGGAATTGGCGTCCACTTGGGTGGTTTTACTTTTTTCTCCATTACCTCATCGAAGTTAATACCCGTCCAGAAGGGATGTGCCTTCACTTCAGGGCCCTTAATCCGACGACTGGCATCCTTCACGAGAAGACGACTTATCAAATCCTTTGCCTCAGGAGGAAGTTGCACGCTGCTTGGGAAACGAAGATCTGAGTAAAGAATGTTATCAAACACTTCTCTCATGCTCTTTCCATTGAATGGTGTGCGACCACAAAGCATGCGATAAAGAAGAATACCAAATGACCAAAAGTCCACAGCGTTGGTATATTCACTTTGCTTTAGTACATCAGGCGCCACATAGAAAGGAGAACCAACAAAAGAATTCGCTCGCATATTTTTGTTTACTCCATCAGCACCATCTTTTTCATTGTAAAAATCTTTAGAAAGCCCAAAATCGGCCAAAACACAATGTCCCTCCGCTGTCAAGAGAATATTTTCTGGTTTCAAATCACGATAGATAACGCTTTGCTCATGTAAACAAAGAATGGCAGAAAGAATCTCTGCACCGTAAAGCTTCGCCGTGAAAAGATCAAGCTGTTTAGAGGGGATAGAATTCATATACTTATCTAAATCCCCACCTGGCATATATTCCATCACAAAAAAGAGTTTGTGTTCAGACTGAAAGGTCCAATAGAGCTTAAGTAAGTAAGGATGATTAATGCGCGATAGTACATTACGCTCAATAAATACATCGCGATATCGGTTATGCTCAAGTAGACCTTGTTTGTTGACTACCTTCATTGCGTAGTAATCTTTAGTGCCAACACGGCGGACAAGGACTACCTGTGCAAAGGAACCTTTTCCCAATACATCTATGGTCTCAAAGTCATCTTTAGTTAGTTTCTCCTGTGGTGGCACTGTTTTCTCATTGTTTTGGTGCTTTTTGTCTCCTGTCTTCTCACTGGCACGTTCCTCCTCTTTTTCCTTCTTATCTTTTTTGTCTTTCTTAAACAGTCTTGCAAACATTTTTGATTTGCCTGATATTTCTCCTTATCTATATATATAAATATATATAGATACAGATATAGATATAGATATATATGTATAGGTCTAGGTGATAGGATGTAGTGCGGAACCTCTCTGTATTTTCAGATGTCCGCAGGTAATGGGATCTCTTCACCTTCTAGAGAAAACAAGATGTAGGGAAGAAGACAGCATGCAAAGAAAAGAAAAGAAAAAAAAAAAAAAAACAGAAAAAAAACCAGAAACTGTAAACCAACAAATGAAATCATTCATAACAGTAAAACCCATTTTGGGACCTCCATTCCTTTCAATTTCGTTCGATTTTTTTTCTCACCCTTGTGGGTGGGAGAGAGGAGGTTTCATTTTTTCTTCTTGTTTTGGTTTCTCTCCTTCGCAAGACGTATATAAACACTCACATTCACACACAAATAGAGAGAGAGAGAGAGACAATTCCTACAAGGTGAGCAGCAGGAGAGAAGCAGCACGGTGAAAGAAGGATGGTGGCAGTACCGCCACCGGCAACTGAAATGCAATCGTCATTCCTGCAACACCAACAGTCAAACCGCAGCCGCAGCGCCGCAGGAAAACGTCGGCCTCAACGTCCACTGGCAGCAAAGACGAAGAGTCATCGGTGGTACTCGTCGATAGAATGACAAGGCGCAGGCCAAGTACAGACACAACATTGGCAGCTGCAAGCCAGCAGAAGAGAGACACTTCACGCGGGCAATGAAGTCTATCCAGTTGAAAGAATTTTTTTGCCTTTGGAGTCTGTAATAACTCAGATATCGGAATTACTTTATCCGTTCTCTCAGGGGGCAGAAAATTTTGTGCTGAGAGGACATCAAGGGCCTCTGGTAGCCATGTTTTAATATATCCCAACCCAATATGGTGTAGTGTATTACTGTCTATTATGGCACAGGTTTCTCCTGTACTTGATGAAAAGTTCTCCAAAAAAGATAATGCTAATCTCTTGAGAGATTTAATACTGGAACGAAGTCGGTCTTCAAAAAGAGTGGATGGTGCCAAAACCTGAAACTCATCGCGTAAAAGAGGATTTAAGTTTGCTAACATCATGGTACATGCATGAAGTGTAGTAACGAAGAAATTTTCTGGTGATGTAAATTCCATAAACATATCCTCACTACTTAAATCTACTAATAATTTGGTATGAGCATACAGATAGGGTAGTTTCGCCTTTATCAAGACGTATTGATAAATAGGAAGAAGATCATCAGCGGAGCCTAATTCAAGCTTTGCAGAATCCCGTGAGAGTAAAGAAGACGCCTTGTCATCGAGATTAACTTGTGCCAGCCGTGCAGAGAGATCAATCTCTTTTGACCACTGTGCAAGTACCCGTAATTTGCTAGTGAAAGTAAGCGCTTGTCGACCAAGTTGGTCAATACTGTGAATAGCGTCAGCGTAGGGATCAAAGAGTCTCTCCGCGCTTTGCTGTCGTGCAAAAACAACCCCAAGATCGTCTAAAGTCGTATGTTCCCGTAATCGTTCAAGAGAAGCGGAAAGTGAAACATCTTCTTCAATGAAGGCCTGCACATAGAGGTTAAATAAAACATCATGTACATCCCGCAGCATGTAGTCTAATAGTTTACGAGCAACGAAAATTTCAGAACTAGCATCTGCAAGAGCGGAATCACCTAACATCTCTAAAACCCATCTCTGCACTGAACGAACAAAAGAAACTACATCCGTCATTGCCAAATCCACATCCCCAACAGTAATAGGACGACCACGTCCATGATGGATACAACCACCATATGCGTTACGGAGATAACACCATCCAAGTTTATTTAAACCTAAACCGGAACCAATTTCACTATCTTTTCCACATGTACCGTGAAGGAAAAAAAAACAGCGGCGGAATACTTTTAGCGCATTTCGTACAACACTCTGGTTAGTGCAGAAATCCGCTAGTACTGCCTGAACCTCTTCAGGAGTTGTAGCACTGTAGAGACGATCACGGTAAGGCGCACAGGCCACGTACTCCCGCATTTTTGTCTCTTCATAGGCCCCACAGAGTAGTGGTTCCCAGTGAAAACATTGAAACCATCCACGTGCATTCATTCCTTCCTGTGTGTGTATTGAAGAAGCAGTAAGAAATATACGGCCATTACTTGCATGAGAAGCGCTTTTCCATTCTGCAGAAATTCTTGACCCACATGGTAGTGTAACGTAACCTTCACCTATGAAACGACCCTTCTCCCAAACACCATCAAAAATTACACCACTCCATCGCTGTTTAGTATTTCCCAACGGCCTAAACGTTGATTCACCTATAGTAGGAATAGTAGAATTATTTCTATCTACTCCATCTTCCTCAACCTCCTGTTGAAGTTGCTCTCGCACCAGCAGAAAATCTGCACCACTCGGAGGGGAACAGTTGGTATTGTATCCTCTATAGGATAACGAAAATAAGGTTCCTGTATCATGGAATTTACCTGCCTCAAAAAGACCTACATAGCGGTCACCATTGGTCAAAACTAAACAACCAAATCCAGAAGGTAAATTATCTTCCCATTGTCCAAAGTAACGGTCACCGTTAGAACCGACAAGTTCTCCCCATCGCTCACGCACAGGCATAGTCGTCTGAACCCAAATGGAGAATTTAGACAAACGATTCCTCAAGCTGCGAGAAAGTTGTTGTGCCATTGTATTGTCTTGCTGTAGTGATAAGAAACCACAGTACTTGTCTCCATTGTCGTAGTCAATACGAGCAGAATTCGATAAATCAGGGCGATTCATTTTCCACTTTGACCACAAAACATAACGTTCTGTCACTAACTTACCGTAACCATCACGACTGCGATTGACGAATTCTCCCACGTAGCAATGTTTGCCCAAAATCGACTGAAGTGTTCCACGACCATGTGGAATCACTATTCCTCTATCTACTCTTACTTCTCCAAAGTACTCGTCACCGTACTCCATTGTGATGGACCTCTTTTGATGACTCTCCTTTTCCTCCTGTGAAGGCGCGGTTGTGGGAGCAGTGGTTTCTTCTTCTGGTAATCCAGGGGTACGATTATCCTCCGCTGCCAAAATAGATCCATCTTGGATGCTGATATTATTGTAATTACCGTACTTCTGCCGATACCCTGAGGGCAAGAGCGGGTTATTATCTCTTACAGGATCCGACTCACCATCTGAGTCGCTGGTCCACCGTCTCATGGGTCGTAAGAGGCCTGAAACTGACGCCCCTTCTAATAGCTACAGAGAGTAAAAAATGGTTTGTGTGGAAAAACGGAATAACGGCAAAACGTTATAGAAACAACACTCCTGATGATCCTGGCACAAAATAAAATAAAATAAAATTATTTTTTTTTTTCTTTCATTTTCTTTTAGTAGTATCAAGCAAAGAAAGAATAGAGTATATTGTAGTCCTTGTTTTTCTTTTTTTTGTCTTCAGTTTCTGGTTTTCTCCCTTTCGTACATTATTTATTCTTCTCTTCTGTCTGTTGTTGACTATCGCCCGGAAGGTCTATCAGTTCTTTTTCTTGTTCTGTTGCCATCTGGTCCAAGAGCTCTTGGCGGATCCTGTAATACTCCTTCACATCCGATTCATCACACCACCGCTGATCCTCATCTTCGCGCTGGTACCAATTCGGTACAAACAAAAGAAGTGATACAGCAAATCCCGCAGCTAGTCCATAGAATGTAATGTAAGCTAGTCCCACCACATATCCCAAAATAAGAGAGATAAAAAGAGAACCGTATAGCATTCGTGCCACTCCACTCAATACCATCCTTTGATCTTTCAGTGACATTGGACTAAATAAACCAGCCACCCACTTTGCAATTGGGTGTACATGTTGTCGCGGAATTTGATCTTCCATCCCACCCGGAAGCAAAGAGTTTTCGTTTATTATGTTGCAAAGGAATCAAATATATATATATATATAAATACTTATGGGAAAAAAAAATTGCCCAAAGCAAGGTGCCTAAACGGAAACCAATAAAAAAAAAAAAAAATGCTGAACATCACAAAAAAAAAAGAAAAAAAAGAAAAAAGATAAATGAAGCATACTTTTTTATTTTTCTTTACTTCCAAGAGAATCTTGACACATAATCACAGAGAGATAAAGACATACCTATACACAGAGGGGTGGATAGGAAAAGAAAAAAAAAAAGATATTTTACACTGAACCAAATAGAAATAGATACGATCAAACACCAAGAAAACATTAAAAAACTTCAGGTCAAGAAGAACTTTTTCCATAACAAGAACTAAAAACGGTTATCCAATGAACAAATGCCGTAACAGCACTCTGTTGCAATGCCACATCCGCTAATAGAGAGTTACCTTGTGGTTCTTTTTTTACGTCACCTGCAAGAGGATCTATAAAAACACTATAAGTATTAACTGCGTCAAACTGAAGTTTCTTGCGCATCAGCAAAGCGGCAAAAGTTAGTGCCAAATGACGTAACGATACACCATTTGAACTTTTATGAATTAAAAGTCCTGCGCATAAATCAACTATCCAAAGAACCACTCCACGTAGGTACGGAAGAAGACTCTCCAAGTATGTCATTGGTTCACAAAGAAGAAGTGAGGAATCAAAAATAGTCACATCAAGTTCAGCTAAAAATATCATAATAAGTCCCATCAATACATCAGGTTGAGTATTTGTGAGAGCTGTGGGTAGTCTGGTTGTAGCATTTGGAAAACAGGACATACTACTGACTGCTGCAACCGCCGTTGGTAATATACCACCAGGAAGGTACCCTGCCGGTTGCGCAAAGGACTCGGGAAGTTCAAAGTTTCCCAAGGACTTTTTAGGCAGTGTAGAACGATATGATTCTAGAACTTCCATAAAATCCATTTCTTCTTCTAATATTTCCTTTACACGTGTGGCTTCTCGCATAATTTCACGATTTCGGGTAGCAAAGTTTGAAGATTTACCTATCAATAGATGACCAATATCCTTATTCGCTAATCCCTGTAGACGAATAAACTGATGTTTTAGCAGTTGTAGCATAAGAGGACTTGCATAGGTACCAATAGGTGAACCCCGCACCATAAGAGCAAGACATTTAGGAAATCCAAGACCAAATGACCGTTGTCTTGGTGAGAGAATAGCAAAGGTTACAAAAACCTTCACATAAACATCCACACTAAGAACGATAACCTGCTCAAATGTTGAGAGTTGACTTTTAGGAGGTGATCGTAATGCGAAGTGAAATGTGGCAACTTCTCCCTGACGAATATTACGATCTCCTCCACTTGAAGAACCAAGATAGTCTCCAAAAACAACCTCACCATCTACAACTGTGTAAACCTCAGAAACCTTAATAGTACACTTAGAGATCCCATCATTTCTAATAGAAACTTTTGCTGAGAAATTACGCTCATTTTGTTCTATATTTTCTGGATCAACATCACCTACAAAACGAAAATGACAGCAAGTCAGAGAAATAGAAGGAGGCTTTCCTCGGTACTCTGGTAAGGCCTGTCGCAACTCTGTTAACACCAAAGAGTCCTCGTGTTTTGCTTTTGGTATCACTCCGGTATCACGTGCTTCTAGTTCAGCGAGGAACATCCGCAACGCGGCTGATTGGCACTGAAAGGCCCATTCACCGCTGGAGTTAATAGAAAGTCTTCGTATATTTGACAAAACTTCCTCTGCGACTGGTGCGCGACCAAACATATATCCACGAAGAAATGTATTTAAGTGATTGGCGTTATAGTCATGAACTTTTTCCATGGCCTTCTTGATATCCTTGGATGTTGACGGTGGTGGATGTGTGTGTACATTCCTCCCTTGCGATGAGGAAAAGATGGAACTCAGTGCATCACTTGTAATGCCGAGATGACCAACGAGAGATGGTGTCATTACATGGGTTGCAACACCAACATTCACAGGAAGCGTACATACATCCTGCATCCCTTTGCCCTACAAGCATGCTAGAGCACATCATAAAAAAAAAAAAAAAAAATAGATATAATTTACCAATAAGAAAAGAAGAAAACATATACATAAATATATATTATATACATAAGTACTCCCCGAGTCAAGAAAAAAAAAGAAAAAAAACAGTAACAAAATAGCACTAGGCCTCACATCACAGAGCCTACCATTTGTGGATTTAAAATATTCTTGACAGCGATACACATAAAATAAAAGAAACGAACTCAAAAATGAAAAACCTCACCTAAAATCTAAAAAAAAAAAATAATGATAATGACAATAATAGTTCCTTTTTTCTTCATTTTGTATAGTTGGTACACACATACGCTGTAATATTCTCTTCTCGTTTCCGATGTTAAAATAATAATGGAATAGGTGATAAAGGAAGATATATATATATATATATATATATATATATAGAGAGAGAGAGAGAGAGAGAGGGACACAGAGTAATAACTCACTCAGATGCCTTCATCATTTTAACAATTTCATTGCTTAGAAAAGTCACACACTCTGAGTATGTGATGAGCTGATTACCAAAAGGATCAATAAGCTCCAATACAGCGTTCACATCTTCGTCTGTTTTGGAAGCGTCAAGGCTCTTCAAAATGGCGGCGAATTCCTGGGCGTTAACAATACCATTGCGATCATGGTCGTGCTGCCGAAATATGGCGAGGAAACGGGCGAGAAAGCGTTCGTGTCCCTTCAGCTGGAAATCCAGCAGAATATGCACAAAGTCCATGTAAGGTAACCGCACTTCATCTTTTCCTGCGATGTCTTGACTTTTTTGAGTCGCAGCACGACGGCGATGGGGTTGAGATATTTGACGTAAATGGTCACGAATCTGCATTATGAGAGACACCGCATCCTCTGTGTTGTACATGTACTTAACAATATCAACCCACTCATCTTCTAATATCGTACTGTTAACTTTTTTCTGTACTATTTTTTCAATTTCCATGTCACTTTTTGTGGGTCGTTTACCCTTTATGTAGATGCGAAGAAGTTCGTGCACAGTTTCACGAACTTGACGTTGAACGAAACGAAACTCTTCATCAATCTCATTTCGAAGAATTTTTCCGAACACCGCCACGTCATTTTCTTCTGGGCTGTATTTTTTTACCCCTTGAATGATGGCAGTAGCCCAATCAAGAATAATATGCTTCAGTCCATATCGTTGGTTTAAGTATGTATACATGTGCTGCTCCATTGTTTCACGAGGAAGATGACTCTCTGAGCACTTAATATCATACTTGCTCTTTGATGCATAGATATCCTCAATCGTACTCTTTAGTTGTTTTAGCGTTAACACCTTATTTCCAAACTGCGGAACATGCGGCTGTGATGGTGATATTTGAGAACGATCAGCGGAGGCGGATGGTCGACGTATTGAAGAGACAGAAACTGGGTTTGGACTACATCCTGTAGTTTCCGCAAAGCGCAACTTTGTCTGTAAACGCTCATTCTCTGTGCGTAGTCGCCCAATTTCTTCTTGCAGCATTCGCATTTCCATCTCTTTTTCTGGAGAAGTAATATTGCCGCTCCCTCTGTTTGTATGGCCAATCTGAGCCATGAGTGACTCAATTTCATGAATAGCATCTTGCATGTCTTTCTTCATTACATTAATGCGTTCATTTTTGTCACCTGCAATGCGGCGCCAGAGAAGGTCGTATTGCTCAAGAAGAGTTGTTTGAGATTTTATAATTGTTGTAAAGGCACGTCCAAGAGCGGCATCTTTCTTTCTAGCCGCACGACATAATTCATCAAGGCAATATTCGTAAAGAACCTTCTTAGCCTTAAGTGTTTCACCTTCACGACTTGCCGCATCTCCTTCAGCTGCTGTCAACGCATTTAGGTGTTGAACGACATTAATCACGTACGCATTGAATTCTCTAGTACTGGAAACGTTGTTAGTGGCTTCAGTAACAAGATTGTAAAGATCTTGCATATTCCTTGTATCATCATCACTCCACTGATGAGAAAATACATCAGGCCGTGGTTGTACCTGTGTTTGTGTTTGTGGTTGTGGATATGATTGTCGCGGTGTCTCATTACGCATTGAGGGAACTGAGATACCTGTGGGAGTATCATTTAATCGTTGAACATCATCACTCTCACGTCTATCCTCTCCTTCTGCATCATTTAATGTCTCTGTTAACGAGGTCCCGTTGAAGCTTTCTAATGACTGCAGTGAGATAATGATCTCATCCTCCTCGCTTTCATAGGAGAGATCAACGTACAAGTGTTTAAGCACAACGAGAGTGGAAAGCCCACTCATAATGCTATCCAACCCATTGATGGGGTTTTCCGATATATCAAGATACTCCAGTTGTCGTATGACTGAGAGATCGTTTGGGAGGGATGTGAGTTTATTGCGTGCGAGTTTAAGTGACTTTAGACGCGGCATGACGGCAAGGAGTGGGAAGAGCGGAAGTAACGTATCAAGGCCGAGACCCGAGAGATCCACCGTGGAGGCCCGCGGATTGGCGTGAATGATTCCCTCCGCCCGAGCCAAAGCCATCTGTATTTATATTAATATATATATATATATATATATATATACAGATATATAGATAGACAGATCGATAGATATATATATTTAGATAGAGAGATAGAAAGGTGGAATCTACAATGGGTGAGAAAAGTGCAGAGACAAAGAGTCCAACGCACAACACGTACCTATACTCACAAAAACACGAAAAAGGAAAAAAAAAAAGAACAAAAAGATAACATATATGTATATATCCCATAAGCAAGATTTCCGAGAAACAACAAAAATAATACACTATTAAAAGAGAATATAAATATACATTAGTTTGTGAAAATTAAAGGAAACACGTTTTGTTTGTACAAAAAGAAATAAAGTGTTGGGAAAAAAGCTCTTACGCTGATGCATCATCCTGCACCCCACCACCCACTGTTGGCGCTTCCTTGGCCACATAAAAATAGAGCGGCACTGATGATTGAACAGTGATTCGCCTCCGACAAAAAGGACATATCGCACCCTGGGAGTTAGACTTAATCCACTCTGACAAGCACTTCCAACAAAAAATATGTCCACAAAGCGTCGCCGTTGGCTGTTTTCGGTTGCTCAAACACAACATGCATTTACCCAATGCAGCCCTTCCATTCTCCTCCGCATCGCTATCATCATCATCATCCATACTGTTATCTATACCATCTCCCGCATTTTTCCCAATGCGATTCTGTGCATCTTGCCGCTGAGCTAATCGTCGTTCCTCCAAAAACCTCCACAGTCGAATAATTAATTCTAGTAACATCACAATACCAAGCACGAGGTACTTGCGAGGGGCACCATCATCGTTTTTGAGTGTTCGTGAGGGTATAAGACTTAAGTAGCGTACACCAAGCAAACGGTGGGTAAGTGTTCCATATGTCTCAAAGATGAAAAGCAGCATCATCACGCATTTACTGATGTTAGAAATGACATCATGGGGCTGAACGGAAGGAAACACTTTCACAGCAAACCGAAAGAGGAGTAATGGCTCCAGTGCGAGCAGTACAGCTAGCAATACCTTTCTTCTTATGCCTAGCACTTGTGGGGGACGACTTCCCGTAACAGGGAGCAGATCACAGAATTCTTCTCCGAGTGTCTGACCCCGCACGAGTGCGAATAAAACATATGCCCCTTTGGCTAACTGACAGAGAACTCTATCATAGCGATTCGTAAAGTGTGCACCAAATGCAGTGGTGACAAGATCCGTTAGCGGGCGGGCGAGATGAGTGTCCGCAATGTGTTCATCCTTGTAAATGGAACGCAAAATATACGGTGCAGTTGCTGGATGCATTTTATGAAATAAAATGAAGTTATTCTTTTGAGGAAAACGAAAAAAAAAAAAACAATCTTTACACCAGAACATAAAAAAAAAAAAAAAGAATAAATGAAAAAAAAAAAGAACAATAATAATAATATACACAACAGTAATTATTAACAAACAACAACAAAAAAAGGAAGAGATGTTGTCTTTTCAAGACCAACACATGATCAATGGGAAACATAATAAAAAAAAGAAAAACAAAAAAAAAAGGCAAAGAAGAAGAGTCTGAGGCAAAACGACCACTCAGACAGATACCTATTTTCCACAATAAATAAATAAATAACAAACAAACACTGCAGCAGGGAGAAAAACTTGAAGTAGTAATAAAAGTAATGGAAATACCACTAATAATATTATGAAACGCAAATATAGCAAAAGCTACCCATTCTCTCTCTCTTCATTCTGCACAACAACTTCAACAGAAGGAGCGAAAAATCCCCTCTCGTTCAGAAACATTGACGGTGGAATCGATGAAAACAAGGTTGCCTTACTATTTTCCCAGCATCCACCTCTGTTGTAATAGTGCACATGATTGGGACCTCCCCGCATTTCCTCCATGGTAGTCATATTTCGCGCAACCAGCATTGTATGATAGGCAGCTAAAGGTGCTACAAGTAAAAAGGCAATAAACGCAATCAGCACCAGTAACGGTTCTATAAAATGTGTTTCTGCAAGGACTGAAAAAAAGGCATTTTTACCTCCATCTGAAGAATTACTTGTGATGGAACCTAACCTTCGAATGATCCCCACCATACCACCAATCATCACGGTGAGAGTAAGCCACAGAGTTGACCACAAAAAAGCCCAGTAGAATCGATAGTTGCGTTCCCCAACGCATGTACCCACCCACGGGCAATGATGATCACGCCGGGCAATGCAGACATCACAGAAACGACAATGTACAGCACGCAATGGTCTATAGTGATTACAAACATAACACCATCTCCGCTCCAACACCGCATCCTGCAGCTGTCCATTCCTATCCACATAAGTGACGGACTCCATCAGTGGTTCGTGCGGTGGGGCATTCTCCGGTGGTGGCGATGCCTTTGGACAAATGCCGGGATCCATTGTTGAGCAGTGCCACATAAGCCCAAGCGTCGTAATGGCGGCAAAACCACAGACTATCTTTGCAGCCAATACATTTGTGAATATCAGGAAGAGAATAGAACAGAGAATTATCACAAGTGCGGTTGCTAGCATAAAAACGTAATCCGGACCCAGAAAAATTGCACCTCCACAACACATGTAACCATTACCTATTCGCCGATTCCTATTCCAGCTGCATGACATATTTTCTTCACTATCTTTCTTGTTTATCTCGTTTTCTCATCATCAAATGTGTACTGCAAACGTTTTCATGCATATATATATATATATATATCGGGGGGAAAAAAATAAAACCAAAAAAAGAGAGAAAAAGAAAAAGGGAGTGGGCAAACAGAGACACAGATACAGAAAAAAGGGCATGAACAGTTTGTCAAAAAAAAGAAAAAAAAAGCAAACAAATAAATAAAAACCTGCACACACACACACACAGAGGGGGTGAGAGAAAAAAAAGTAATAAAGAAAAATACACACAGATAGATAAAAACATACAGACAGAGAGACCTGAGAAGGATGAATTTACTGGAAGCTTGAAAACCGCACATCATTGTACAGTATCATCACAGAAAACCCTTCCCCACCCCGTTTCCCTTCATAACAACAACGTCGACAACAACAACAACAACAACAACAACGACAAAAATAACAATAACAAACCCGAATAAAAAATAAAATAAAAATAAAAACGCCACCACCATTCTATTTTCACAAATCATCTTAATCTGTGATACCGTAGTATTGGCAAAAGTGTTCTCCCATGTGATCACAATCCATCCACTTCACAGCAAAGACACGACCCAAACGGAATCCATACTTAACTAGGCTGGCCTCCATATTTACAATTTGATTCACCGTCCATGGAAGGCAAATGACGTAAGGCCCCGTTTCTAAACTACCATTCTTATCATCATCATTCAACTGTCTTGCTGCGACCTGTTCGATAAGTTCTCGCAGTCGTCCCCAACCAACTCTTGCCTCGCCCTTGGAGGCAGAAAATAATGTTGGCCAGTAGACACAACGTGCTTCAAATGGAATAAAAAATTGCATGTAGTATGCTTTCCACCCCAGCTGTGATCCCGCTGGATACAAAAAAGGTGGTTCTTGTTTACTGCGCAAGATATCAAGAAAACGGTGGTGTACACCTAACGCAGGGAAAGTGTCATCCCGCAGCGGAAATAAAGCTGCCGGAGCAATCTTGTCGATATAGTCAAACGGCACACCTTCCATCATAACAGCATCGCACTGCGCAACCTTCTCTCCTAGTGAAGTAAAAAAAGTCTTTTCTCCAATTTGTGGAAACGGCATCGCCAAGATAATAATTTTCTCATTTGGAGAGACAAACTCCGTGATCTTGAGATCGTATCTCTCTCTTCCCGAGTCTGCGGTGCGCAAGACACACGGCGGCGGCAAAAGACTTTTATACGCTGGAGGCACTTCCGCCACCATGTGACGCTCCGTAATGCCGCGAAACCACTCCAGCACCTCTCCCCGCCGCATCCCACACCAATACACTAAGTAATAGTAAACAACCGCGTCCACATTGACAGATATAAAAAGAAGCAACAATAATGCAATAACGAGAAAAATACCAAAACGCGCCACTCGTTGATACATTGTTGCTACGTGAAAAGGTTCCAACACCTCTGTGACGAAACGTTCTCGCCGAACAAAATCCCCAAGACGTCCACCTTTGACATTTTTTGATAACTCTTTTTCCTGTGTTTCCATCCATTTCTTAATTAAGCAAAATTCCTCATCTACAGCACGGTTAATTAACCAAGATGGTTTTCCAAAAAGACAACGAATACCGTTAATCTGTCGAATAAAAAAAATGTGACGTAATACAGGATATTGCAGCCACGGTGAGTAAGGTAATGGTTCATAGCGACTCAGCACATCGTATATCTCTTGTTTTGGAATATACTTCCGGTGTTTGTGGCGCCTTGCCAGCATAAACATCTCAGCATGCAGAATCTGAGAGGCCTTGTCAAAACGCAGACGCCTTGGAAACGTTTGCCGAAAAACATCACCTAATATATTCATGAATAAGAAAACAACATTAAACTAAAAGAAAAAAAAAAGGAAAAAAAAAGAAAAACTGAATAAACGGAGAAGTAGAAAAGTAGATAAAAATGGTTAAGTAAGGAAATTAGAAACGAAAAATAATAAAAAAATATTTTTTTAACTTTTTTTTTTTAGACGCAAAAAAAAAAAAAAAACGTTGTATGGGGTAATAAAGTGAATAAATCTAAACAACGTTGTAAAGTGGTGGGAATGCTAATACAGTTCTTTTCTTCCTTTCAATACCTTTCACCGCCCCATACTCAGAGAAACAAGACAGTAAACCGCAAGAAACCCCGACATAAACTTCTTATCATTATTATTGGGAACACTCAAAAGAGTGAAATCAACTCAAGCACTATTCCCCGTAGCGTCCCGGAGAACCTTTCAAGACAAGCGCCGGTGGCAGTTCCATGCGTTCCTTCGGCAAATTATCAAATGAACTCAGTCCTTTATTAGGATCGAAACCCGGCGGCAACTCGTATGGATCCCGCCATTTCTCGCGAATAGAACTACTTTTTGAATAGTAGAAGGAGAAAAGAAACGCCGATGGAGTGAGAAGCGCCAGCAACATAAGAGCACTAGAAAACTTATTTTTCTTTAACATTTCTCGAATGTGACGCTGCGCTAACGGCGAATCGGCATCCGCCACTGTCTCCCGAATCGTTCTCTCCAGTTGTTGTTGAGTTTTTGGCTCCATTTTCCCCTAGATCTATATATATATATACACTCAGCAGTTTCTAACATTACAAAGAGCACAAGAAAGAGAGAAAAAGGAAGAGAGTAGTAACAATAAAAAAAAAAAGGGAGGAAATGAGGTACAAGACAAATAAGTGTGGATATCCACTTTTTTTTTTCTTCCGTGTGTGTCTGTGCATGTGTATTCCATTCAATAATACGTCTTTATCAAAAGAGCGCGGTACAGCGACCTTGGTGTTGCATACACGCAAACACACACAAAGACGTCAAAAGACTAAAAAAAAAAACACCTTTGTTCAACGTTTTACTACTGTTCTTTTTGACGGTAAGTTTGGATATCACCAATGTTTTCATCTCCTCCAATATTGTAATGCTTGAGACCTAAGTATTCTAACCAACCGTTCTTGCGTTGTGTCATGTATAGATCAAAGTCCTTCTCGTTTCGTCTTGTCCAGATAGACTTCTTTGCTCTTTCCATCCAATTCTGTCCTGCCACGTAGTTCACATACAATGGACCGATATACGTTGGTCCGATAACAAATATCGAGATGCCTATCATGAGGAAGGCCACAGTGCGTCGAGAAGAGCGCAAACCTGCTCGCTGAATACTTTTTTCTTTCATCTTCATTCTAGGATGAAAGAAGTTCTCATGTTTTGCACCTCCACCGGCCGTGTCGTACCCACCGGGGCGAGGCGCAGTGCCTGGGGCTTTGTTATCCATTCCTTTGCTTTGCAGTCAATAAGGGAGTGCAGAGGTTCACAAGAGAAGCACATATACACACATATATACATACATAAAAACCGTAGAAGAGTAAGCAATTAAAAATCACAAATTTATAAAAAAGAAAAAAAACCCACTCAATGTACCAGAATACCTCAACACAGAGAGAAACAAACACACACACACACAAAAAAAAAAAGGATCCTGGAAAGATAATTCAATATATATATACCCAAACAATTTAACCCAAATAACCCACCCATATTGGTAGCATTTTTGCGACCAATTGAACGCCAAACGCTGTAGTGAAAAAAATAAAACTGAATGTGAGAATCTCAGTCAAAGTAACACCTACGTATTTGCACAGATATCGATCAGGTGCAAAAGTAGTAGTAGCGGGCTGCCACCACATCCGTGCTGCAGTACAACGACGAGAAACACCACGCATAGGGGCGTAGTGAGGCTTTTCCTTAACACTGCAGTTAAGTTTACTGTCACTCTGATCAAAGATACAACGACCCATATGTCCCTTTATCTTTCCTTCTTCCTCATTGATATCTTCTCTAGACACCAATGATTTAAACTGCAGACGACGCAGTGGTGTCACCAACACACGCCGACCACCATCTTGGATGATAGCGCTTCCAGTGAGTAAAGTTTCACCGCACTTCACCCATCCACCCAAATCTCGCAGTCCTGCCGCAGTGGGAGACTTCAGTATCGCCGTCACCGCAACGTCCACTTGCAAAGTCTCCAACCCCACGAGAGTGAAACGGCAATCCGTAAAAGAAACGCGTGAAGATAAACTGCAATATTGCCGTTCTTCCGCACTAAGGTCCGTGAAGATAGCTGTAGATGTCTCTAGTAGTAATTCTGCTGACTGTTCATGTGAAAAAATCCGGTAAAGTTCAAAATGGAAAGTACCATCTGAGCGTAAATATCGAACAAGCCCACTTACCCCAACACTTGGTAAAAAACAAGATGTCACCAATTCTGTTTCCCCCACAAGAAATTTATCTGGAAGTTTCATTCTCGTGATACTAGAGGGATGGGCCCCAAGTGAGTTCATTCCCTCAAGGAGAATCATACTCGTCGCTCCATCAATCCCGACTACATATATAAGAAGAGTAGAAGCAGCTCCCACATCACGGGGTAAAAGCCAACTCTTTGCCATACTCAAAGACATGAGAGTTTCGTCCACCGATACAATCAAATTTCCATCACGCCACTGAGCGATGAGTACATGAAGTGCACCAGAAGTGTCATCACCGCAAATGTATAATAAATGAACAGCTGTGGAAGAAGTAAATACTGTCACTGATGCTGTATTAACAGGATCACTTGTCGATGATGATGATAATGATGATGATGATGATGGTAATAATAATAATGAGGATGATGAAATACTGCGGCATTGTGAAGAAATATCGCCCATAAAAACAAGAGAAGGTTCTGTATACTCTGAAATTGTTTTGTTCTCTGGTTGAAGCAATAAAGCAACACGAAACTGTACATCATCCACTCCCCGTACAACGTACCAATCAAGTAATGTATTGATTTTACTATCACTTATCACACTGTGGGCTTCTGTTGGCGCACAACGTGTGAAATAGAGTGGTTGTTCTACGGTTTCCAAGAATAAGAGGGCATTAGATCCCAAAATAAATAAATTCGACATAAATAAGAGGAAAATAAAACGCATCATCACCTGGTTCAAAAGCTGTTATTCCCTTTACTTTTGTACTTCCTTCTACAGCTTTAGTGGAAAAGTACAAACCCAAAAAAGGAAAAAGAATAATAAAAAAAAAAAAAAACATAGGTGACTCAATTTTAACTAATGTTAAACCCTGTGATAGATAGGGGATTAATGAAGATGCATCATCCAGCGTACAAATAAGAAAAAAGGCACATCTTTTCTTTTTCTTTCTTTCGTACAACACAGTAGGGGAAAAAAAAAAGAAAACAAAGATAAAGACTTCCAATGGGAAAGTCCTACCGTTTTTTCTTCAACTTTTCTTGGAGAATATTTTCACAGCAAGTGGGTTCTGGGCAATACCACTTTGTAGTAGATAACGCAAGATAATCCTTTAGAGTCTTATCATGTATTTCTAGACATGCAAAGTGGTACCATCCATGGCAGGCGTGGCAACGCACAACACCGTCACTTCCCTCCGTCACACTTGCAGGACAGCACTTTAATGTATTCGGCGGAAAACTAAAAGTCTTTGGATTGGCCTCATGTTCCGCAGCGCATTCATTACACAAATACATCCCACCAGCAGGAACGATAGCTGTAGTATAAACCGAACCACAACTACTACAGGGAGTTCCACGACGACTCGAATCATTCTCCTTCACTCTATTGTTGTTACTGTTCTTCTTCGTAGCATCGCGTTGATTAACAGCATCAGCATCGCGGCCAGCTGTTCCCAACGCCTCCACTGCGTTCTCTAATAGGCCATTTTTCCCTCCTCCCTCTATGTGAAATGGAGAAAAAATGCCAGCAGCAGGATCCATCTATACACGAAGAGAGTACTCCATCCAGTAGAAAGAGAGAGAGATAGAAAGAGAAAGAAGGAGGAAGAAGCATTGAAAAGCAATGAAAAAAAAAAAAAAAAACGGAGAAACCAAAAAAGGTATATTCGTTACTATTACAATACGTAACGAATGTGAAATAATTCTCTGTAAAACAAAGAAATAATCATATATATATATATATATATATGTCAAACGAATAAATAAAGAGAATACAACCTTTATTCATCCCAACAATAAGACCAACACAAACAAGAAGATGTAACCCAAATTCAGTGCAAAAGGAGGTTTCTGGTATCGCATTCATCGTTGCACCAGCTCTTATTTTCTTTTTTTTTTTTCTTGTTGTCCTTTGCACTCGGTTTTCCTTCATTTCTCATTCATAAGAATATTGTTTATTCGCCTTTTTTTTCTCTTTTGTTCCCCTGTCTGTTTCTTTTTTTTTTCGTATTTTTCGTTCGTTTGTTTTCTTCGCTTCCTTCTACTTGAGCGGGAATGCCTGATGGACAGTGGATCCGCAGTGTAGGCATCGAAAGGATCCTGCCATTTTAGCGTCAAGAAGCCGACTTTTGATGCAGTAATAACAATAGACATGTCCACAGTTGGAGCGTTGGGCAATGGTGGGACGATCATGACAGGCGCAGCATACCGTATCATTCGAAACCAGATTCCCTGAAGGTGTTGTGAAGGCCTGAAGAGAGCGAGTCAAGCGACTAATGTAACGACCAACATTTATCAGAGCAAGAAAAGAAGACCACGTTTTCCAAGTAACATGTTGGTTTAAATACATTAAATTTGAGAAACGTCGCGTTTTTTGAGTGCCATATACAAGGCGTAGGGAAAGTAAACGTTCCACTAGAGTTCGATACTGTGCAGTAGCGAGAAAATGAAGTGTATTAATAATCGAAAGAGTGGACCAAATAATAGAAAGCAATCGAATGACTTTGGCAAGCTTGGCCTTAAGAGATCTTGGGTTTTCACGCTCCCAGTCTTCCTCTAATGACTTTCTCTGAACTTTTCGAATCATATATGGTACACATACCGTCAATAAGGCGTGAAGAAGAAGACGACCACGTGTTGGTACGAGTGTTGGGTCTAATCGCACCACAGATGTCATTCCCGTCGCTAACGCCTTGGCTTCATCCCGCAGCACTAAGTTCTGCATGCGATCTCCTATCGATTGAGCTCGTTTCCATGTAGATCCATAGTAGAGGACTGCATCTAGGAGAAACATAAGTTCATCTTGGTACGCATAGCGGTATGTTTGTAGTCCCTCCAGTTCAAAGATTCCAAACAGACTACTACGCAAAATGTCCACTAACTCCTCCTGTGTTTGCAAAGCACAGAGTTGGAATACACGAAGCACACGGTTTACTGGGAGTGTAGTGAACAAATTTGATGAGGGAAGTGTCCCTTGTTGTTTAACAACTGTGGCAAGTGGAAACTGTGCTGCCGCGGTGTCTTCAACCCACGTCATGAGTAATATCACAGAATCCAAATTTCTTTTTTTTGTTTCTTTTTTTCTTCTCTTTTGGTTACTCTAAAAAATAAAAAAAGAGAGAACAAAGAAAAATAATAATAATAATAATTATTATTATTATTATTATTAAAGATAACAAACCATTCATTTGGTATCTGATAACCAAAATAAAACCCCATTTTCCACCATCAGTGGTTGCTAACACATTCTGCTGTCATTATAGAGTTTGCAACATGAAAATAAGAAAAAAGTAAAAAAACAAAAAAAAAAAAAAAATGAAAACCGAAAAGAGACTGATACACAAAAAAAAAAAAAAAAAAAAAAAAAAAAAAAAAAAAAAAAAAAACAATAAAAAAAGAAAAGAAAAACACACAGTGGTTTTCTTACTAAAAGACACTTCTGCTTGAACTGGCTTGAAGAAACTCTGAAATGACGCTCATTGGATTTGAATGTCCCATTAAACTACGATCCAGCATCACTTCAAGCCGTCCAATGTTCTCCTCACCTTCGGCCTTCAGCGCCTTACACGCAGTTGCTTCCTCCTCACGGCTTATTTCTAGAGATTGTTGCAGAGTAATTTCTATGCATGCCATTTGTTCATGAATGGCTGTATTGCTGCCCTTCAGTTCCTGTAGTGCGTGGTTTAATTTATCTACCACCACTGAAACCTTTGACAATGAAGTTTGAAGCCTCTGCTCTATGTTTTGAATGTTCCCCTCCACACATTCCTTGAGTGCATCACGGGAGGCGTCCGTGACCACTTGTCCCTCATCCACAATCTGTTGAATCTCATTTAATGATGCATTAAGAATTGCCGTCACTTCCCGCTGTTTTGTTTCTCTCTTAGAGTTAACAAGTTCTTTCATCTTTTCTAGTAGATCATCCGTTTTTGCATCTGAGGTTTTTAAAACATATTGAAAAGCATTAACGACATTGGCTTCACTACCTGTTAACTGCATAGATTCTGACCTATGTCGTTTGGGTTTTGCGTTTTCTTCTATATTCTCTGATGGTTGAGCCAGTTGAACCTCTCGGGGAACGTTCTCTGGTGCAGCAACTCGTTTACGTTCCTTCTTTGCTTCTAGTGCTGCAATAATCCATGAACGTATACTTGATTCTTTAAACATGTTGAGTTTTTCAGGATCCATAAAAAGCACAATAACATCTTCATTAGTTCCCCGATTCATTAAGGCCTCAATTTTTGTTGGAAATTCATCAAGGCGAAAAACAACACGTCCATCCTTTCCAAGTGTAACCGAACGAATTGATCTATACGGAATAGTAACATTATCTGCATTGGAAGATGTCACAAGTATGACAAGGTAATGTAAATTAAAGTATGAGACGGTTGGTCCACTTATTGTAGTATGAGCTACATCTACACGATTAAGTGGAAACGATAGGACATCTTTTCGATCTTCGTTAATATCCTTAAGTATCTCTATCATTTTATTTAATAGTGTAGCATCATTCGGAAGATGACGGATACTATCCAAAATACGAGGACGAAGACGGTTTCCAAGATCTGCAAGAAGAGATTTGTTATGTCTTGACAAACGAAAAAGAAGTTCAACACACTGTAATTGGAAAAAGACATCAACACTTAATGCACAACATTCCTCTAAAAACTTCCATGATAGAATTCGTTGTTTATTTTGTTTAGATCCCTTCACCAAATTAATAAGAGCCGTTGCTACGGCACGTTGAGTGAGAAAGTTACTCCTTGCCTCTTCCACGTTACGCAGATACATATCATTCAACATGGTAGCAAGATCTTCCATAAAGAGAAGACCGCAAGCATCTTTAGTGCTGTTACCATCGCAAAGACTTCCAACAACCTGCAAAAGTTCCACAATAGCGTGGCTTTGCAGTGGGAATGCTCGTTGATCTACAGCCGCGCGAAAGATACCGTGTAATGTCTGCAGCAATGTCTGATTCATTCCGAATGTCTCCACGCCTTTTTCAAAAGATGCCTCACTGCGTGCGAATCCCTCCGAGAAGAGTTTAAAGAGTGCGCAGAAGGCCTCTGCATCCCGCACGGCGATTCCCTCCTCCGCGCGCAGCATGATGAAAGACGCCTGCTGGAAAATACTCTGCACCTCCACATTGTCCAACTCCTCTGGCCGGCGCAGAATGGCGTCGACGGCGCCGGGGAGGGCCCCGAGCGGCTGGGCGATGATGTCGTGCATGTTGATGCGATTCCGCTTCGGCTGGCGCGACTTCATTGGCGGTGTGTTGATTGACCGCAGTGACTCTCAGCAGCAGCAAGAAGAGGGGCAATGAACCGCACAGCAGAGACAGATAAACTGGCTAACACCCACAAACCCCCAAAAAAAGGATGGAATGAGAAGAAAGGAAAAGAAAAAAATTAGAAAAAAAAAAAAAAAACAAGCATTATCAAGAAATCATAATAAGAGATAATAAATAATAAACAACAACAAATAAATAAATAAATAAAGAGGAAAGAAGTTGATGAACGAAGGGTACGTTACAATCAAGAAACAATAATAACGAGGTAACGAAAAATAATTCCTTAGTAATCGGTCCCGTCCCTAAAATCTCCCCACCTTATTCCTTTCTTCTCCCCTTCGAATTATATCGAAGTCTCAGAAAGAAAAGGTGGAGATTACTACTAATAAGAGGAACGAGGTTACCTTCCCCACCAAATAATAAAATAAAATAAAAAACTACAAAAAATGTAGTAGATTTATGCATTATCTAACTGTGAAACAAGTCGTCGGCGATCCTCCTTCTCTTCAAGTTTGTTTAGGAAAAAAGCAATTAAGATCCCCAAAAGAACACCAACAGCGGCACCAATTACAGCAGAAAGAGTTGCTGAGAGAGCATAGTGACTTATTTTTTCTTTTTTGGCAAATGAAGCGCAGATGTAGTTTTGGTGAGCATCTAACACGGCGTTAGGTCCACACGCCTCTTTAGGGCAGTGTTTACGATAATATTGGCAAGAAGAAGAAGGGACAGTATCCATCACATCACATCGATCTTCTGGTAAGAGATAACAGTAACGATCTGAAACAGTTGGCTTTGAATTGTTCACATAACGCCAAACATCTTCTACTGGACACTCTGAACTCAAGTATACTAATCCAGAAGCGGTTTGACAACGTACCGAAACAGGTGGAATATCTAATGAATAATCTAATGTTGAATTTTCTTCCTGCATTGGTTCTGCATAACCAAAAGAGATATTACCATCTGTATAGGTCGTCAAAGTTAGTACTGCCCCAAAACGTGGAAACCATTTCTCGTCCATGTCATCAAGTTGAATACCACCAAGTGTGTTAAGTAGACCCAAAACAGTGCTATCATGAGCTGAGTACTGATACACTTTTTTATTTCCTCCTTGAGCATCATTTAGCATTTTAGCAGCCAAATCATAGCCAGGAGCACCGGTTACAGCATAAGGATTAGTCGGATGGAAAGCATACAAGTGCTTACAGCTACCATATTGTATAGGGAGTAGTTTTTCTTGAAAAATATCACGTAGTTGTTTAGATGTTTCGTTAGTGTTACTTATACGGCACTGAATAGCATCTACAGCAAAGAGAGCGCACAACATAGGGGTTTTTGAACACCAATCTCCAAATTCACTAGCAAGAGCAAGTATATCATCTTCAGAAAGCATTGTTCGAGCCAGTGTATCATTATTTTGGTATGAATAATACCACTCTGAGCGAGCAATTATATTCGGAAAGTTGTAATTAAACTCCATAAGCCAATCTGAATCTACTGGACCGTATTTTACAAATGGTAGAAAGTTAGAAGTTTCGTTAAAGAAAGATTGAGCCACGCCATAGGCAGATTGAATGCAGCGGTCAGAGTCTCCTGAAAGAAGATCATACTCATCAGGGCTAAAGGATGGTATAAAGGTGCCATATACTCTGCGTAGGAGTTTTCCCAAATTAGCCATCATTTTCTCACCATTTGGAGTTAGTTGCGCATAATCCCAGACGAGATTTCCATCAATGACGAGAGGTTCATCTCTGGCACCATGGCGGTGAACAAAGCTGAGCTGTTTAATGGTCCGAGTGTCTGCAAAGGCAAGCAATGGCAGTAGCAACAATGCAGTTAGAATAAGAACGTTTGGTCGACGCATATCTCGTAAGATTTTATTTTCCTACAAAAGAAAACAAAAAAAAAAAGGAACAGGAACAGCGCAACAGTAAAAAGAAATTAAAAAAAAAAAAACAAGGAATAGACTGAGTAGAAAGGAAAAAAAAAGCGGAGCAGATGAGGAGGAGGAGAAGGAGGAGGAGGAGGAGGAGAAAAGAGAATGAAGAAAAGTAGAAATCATACTTTCTTTTTTTTTTTTTAAAGACATTGGAGATGAAAACAAAAAAACTGCAGGCGAATCACAAAAAAAAAAAAACACATGGCGTCAGTCAGATAAAAAAGAAAAAAAAAAAGATAATGTCTTGAAATTATACAATACGACCGATTGTCTTCTTTGCCTTTTCGTTCAACTCAAGAATTGCAGCACTCCATCGACGCAATGCCTGCAATCGTTCAGATTCCTGCCCCACCACCTCCCGCTCTCTCTGAGTAACAATGATCACATCCTCCCTATCATCTAAGGAAGCGTTTAGTATTCCCCGCATTGTGGCCCTCACACACAAGCGCATCACCTCGTCGCTGTTGGTAACTAAAACATCCTCCAATCGTTTCATGTAAAGTCGCTCGTACGGCGCAACGTACGCGACCAGTGACTGTAGACGAAGTTCCTCCAATACCAAGTCTAGGTTCATGTAAATAACGGGATCCGCTTTAAAAGTTTCCTTATACTCTTCTACGACATTAAGGAACTCCTGAACATCATTATCAGTAAATGCTTTCATAAGTTTTGCCATTGGGAGGATTTCTGCTGTATCCTCAAAATTTTTTGTTTCATGAGTGGCGAATGGATCTATTGTAGAACCACTAAGCATACAAGTAAGTACCAAATACTTAAGACATTCTATTCTTCGTGGGTCACCACTTTCATTGTAGTTACGAAATGCTACAGAAAAACAACGAAATGCAGAAGACCAATCTCGAATATGCATATACATTTTCCCACCACATTCCAACACACTACCCGCTACACGAGAAGGAGGAATAGTATTTACAATAGAAATAGCTAAAAGAAAAGTGTCCCGTATTCGCTTAAAATCATTCTTTTTTGTATATACCTCCAGAAGCAAAGCATATGAAAGAAAGAGTTGTGCACTCTTTTTAAAAGAAAATTGATCTTCTTCCTTACACCAGGCTACAACAGGATCCATTTCCTCTAAAACAACATCTAGATTATTTGCTTCTAGCGATAAAGTTGCGTGTTTGAGTTTCGCATTAAACCAAAGTTTTCCAAACGCTCTCATATTTTTGGATGAGGCTTCAATAGTTATCTGAAGTACACGCTCAAAATATTCCACAGGTACGCGTTGTGCCTCATCCATAAACTTCATCATGGCCTTCTGCAAAGCCCCATTATTAATATCTTCATGACGAAAGTTAGCTACCCGGTTGTAATATTTTAACATATCCTCATATGCTTTTGTACGCAAACTAAGTCGTGCCAACATTTTTAGCGCTTTAAATGTCCATCTTCCTCCAATAGGGTCATCACACACAACGCTGTGAAGCCCAGCAGCGCACTCCTCAGGGGAAGTGTTCATTATAGACTTTGCATTCGCGTAGGCGCTTTCCAGCGCCGTTTCCCACACTTCGCCTTCCTCATCGCCGCCATCCTCATCATAGTAATAATATTCCTCCATCTACCGCCTTTACCCCAGTAAAAAAAAATTCGAGAACAAGAACAAAGGAAAAAAGAAAAAAAAAAAAAATAAATACCAGAAACAAATATATTTAAAAAAAACCGGAAAAAAAAACAAATAATCAATAAATAAAACACAATGGAAAAAATAATAACAATAAAAGTCAAAGATTAGAATGACAGAGTAGTGGACCACAGTTCATTTAAAATCACAGCGCCCGTCCAACGCCCAGTATACATTGCAACCGAGCTATGTGCTCTTTTTTTTTTTTTTTTGCGGGAGATTCGGTTTTTTTTTTTCTTTTTCTTCCTCACGTTGGAGAACTTCTCTGTCCTTCTTTTCTTTTTTTCATATTTTTGACTGTAAGGTATCAGTAGCCGTATCAGGAGAACGGTCATTATAAATACATAAAAAGATCAAGCTCTAGTCAAACACATCAGTCGCCAGGGTGGACAACTCTTCTAAACCACCATCATCATCATAATAATCATCAAACACACATTTCCTTCCTATCTTTTGGATGATTAGTTGAAGACACAGCTTTCATACGTTGGAACCATGTATTTGATGTTGATGTAGGCATCATCACCACCGTGGATCTCCAGGAGCTGGAGTGTTTCCTCCACCAAGTCACCTACATCATCACGTTTTCTTTGACCAAAGTCAACTGCATCACCACGAGCGCGGCTCTTGTGACGGTTCTTAAAGAGGTTAAACATTGGAAGAATCTGACGGTAGTATGGTACAAGTGCCTCTCCAATAAGTTCACCACTTACCACCAGTTGTTGAAGAATACGAAGAGTTGCGCAGATGATCTCAGGATGACGTGTATTTAGTGCAGTTTTAATAGGAATAATAAGCTGCGGTATTGTTGGGAGAATTTTTGCACCCCCACGTTTTAGCAGATCCAGAGATCCTTGACGGGCCAAAAACATATAAGGTTCCTCCGTTTCACGAATTCCATCAAAGAAAATAGGTAGGTAATGGTGGTAATCCAGTCGTTCCACATCTACCTTCCAGTCAATAGTGGGTCGGCTTCCATGCGAAACAGCTAGCGGTAAATCTCCACGATCATAATATCGCCGGAATTCCGTGGGTGGAATTGGACGACGCTTAAAAGCGCCAGCCTTTGGTGGTTTACTCGCTCCTGCCCCGTTGGCGGAGAAGGCCACTGCGGAGTTGTTCTTTGGTCGGCCTTTATACATGGAAGTGGTGGCGCCGCCAAAGCCGTGTTGAGTTCCCTTGTACGCAAACTTTACTCCCTGCACCGTCACCGGCTCCTCTACAACTTCCTTCTGCGTCTTCTCCTTCGTCAGCGCATATCCCGGGGGAAAGGCGCCGAATGGACCTTTTCCCGCTGCCTTGTTGTATCGCTTCACAGAGGGGTCACGCTTGGTGCCCTTTACTATTGGCTGAATTTCATACGACATTTCTCCTCTCTCACCCTCTCTTTCTCTCTGTATTTTCTGTATTTCAGCCTTGTGCTGCACCAAAAGAATAAAACCCTTTAAAACGCTACGCAGAGGGAAAAACAGAAAGAAAAAAAAAAAGGAAAAAGATAACACATTTGATTGAACAAATAAAGATAATTAAAAAAAAAAGAACCAAATAGAAAGAAAAAGAAAGAGGGAGAGAAAACGAAAAAAAAAAAAACTGTTTTCCTCTTTTTCCACTCGCTCACATGCTTAAAAAGATCTTTTATGTTTTTTTTTTTTTTTTCCAATCACTTACTTCTTAGTTATTTCACGGAAAGGCGATTAATAATACAAAGCACATGACAACTTACACTGGCATTAAAGTTAGCCTTTAGAAGCGGTCTCTCCATTTTCTTCAGAAGGATCAACCTGGTAATCGGCTCCAATTCGCGTGAAGGAATCCCCTTTTTCTCGGAGTATATCTTCAATATTTTTTGCTTCATCTACAAACCAACCAAGATTGTCGGCTAGGAGATGCCGCACCTCACAGGAAGGACATTGAACTATAACGATACCTTTAGTATATGCATGTTTACTAAATTTTTTTACCATTCGATGATCACAACGTCCACATGTAAATGCAGCCACCATATCACCTGTTTTAGTACCAATACCAGTACCACCCATCTTTGAGCTTGGTTGTTGCTCCGGATGCTGTAAAGCGTCAAGAATTAGTCGTTGATCATCTTCAGAAAGTCCTTTCAGCCGTTTCTCTAGATCTTTATAAGAATGACTTTCTGAAAAAGATGCCTCGGCCTTTGAAGCTCCAAGAGCTGATGACATGGACTCTCCTATTATTGGTTTTCCCCCACAAAAACGCTTAGAGCACCAGAATATCCTAGAGGGATACACGCATCGAGCTCCTGCTTGCCGCATTGACCGAGAGAGGCATTTATGCAACATGAGAACCTACAGCAATATTTTTGAACAAAAAAAATCCAAAATAAAAAGTGTTTAAGAAGAAAAAAAGAAGAACAAGAAAAAAAAAAAAACAATATCATTAACTTTATTACTCATGTGAGAAAACAAAAATCTTATAGAAAAGAGTTTAAAGCTAGAACAAAACATATAAATTACTATTAATAACTGATGGAATTGACACCATCTCTATTCAATGGATTAAACGTAAAATTACAACCTAATTAGAATCTTTCATAAGAGCCTCAACATCAATTCCTTTACCAGACAACTGCCGCAACTTTGTCTTATGTTTACTGCTATTTATGTGTTCCTTATATTGCCCTTCACTTTTAAATTGTTTCTTGCACGCAGGACAGTTAAGTTTTATCTCCTGCGTTTTTTCATCATCATTACCCTCAAGCATGGCAAAACCATTACTATCACCATTTTTCCCTTTTCGTGCCTCTTCAACTTGTCGTTGCTTCTCGTAAACAAGTTCCAGTGTAGAACCATCTATAGCCTCTCCCCTCTCCATTCGTTCTCGTTCTTCCTCAGCTTCTTGTTCTGCAGCTTCGATCCAGAATTTCTCGTTAGCTTCACGACGTTTTTTAGCCCTTTCTTTTTCTTTTTGCTCTTTTTCTTCTGCTTTTAAACGTTCTTCTTCTTCTTGACGAGATAACTCAGCTTCTACACGAGGATCACGGCGATATACAAATCGAACAAGGCTTTGAACAGTTTGTACGTATTCCTTCTTTGCAGCACCTCTAGCCTTTTGATTAATTCTTTCTGCCATTCTCCTTGATGCACGATCAGGGATTTCATTTATTTTGTATTCATCTTCCCATGCAAAGGTCTTAAATGAGCTAAAATTTTTCCAATGACTGTAGAATTTAGATAATTCACTCCATTGAGTTGAGCTATCTCCAAATCTTGGCCAATTACTTGCAATATCGTTAAACTCAACTTCACTCTCAATAATCTGATCAAAAACCTGCCGATAAACAGCATAAAATCCACCTTTCTCATCACTAAATCCATCAAAACACCGTGATGTAAAATATGCATAAAGGTTCATATCATAAGAAGAATCAGTGGCATCCCCACCATTCAGTATAGTTTCCCGATGAGCATCATACCAAGCTCGCTCATCTGGGTCACTAAGAACTGCGTAGGCATTTTGAATATCCTTAAATCTGGCAATTGTACTTTCAACATTACCGTAATTTTTATCAGGATGATGAAGAAGTGCTTGTTTTTTGTAAGCACGACGTATATCATCTAATGAGGCTTTTCTGTCAACCTCAAGCACCTCATAGTAACACTGCTTGGGTGCTTCAGTCATTCTTTATTTTGCCCAAAAAAAAGGGGGAAAAAAACTAACACCTCCACAGCCACCAACACCACTACTAGAAAGAAAAAAAAAAACAAATATATATAAAAAGAAAAACGTATAAAGTGAAAAGGGTAAAAACAAACAAAATCACAAATTTCTTCAGAAACAACATACATATGAAATAAATAAAAAAAATGAAAACATCAAAATTTTAATAGCAAGAACACGAAAAACAAAAAAAAAAAAAAACGTGATTTTAGTGAAAATTTTCTACGGTCTCCGCAGAGAGTGGCATCAATGACTCTATTATTTGAGTCCCATTAGTGATATTTGTTGAAACTACAAGAATATGTCTTGGTTTACCAACGTTAGCTAATTTGGTCTGTAAAAAACGCAAAGCACTAATTTCAGCATGTGTAATCCCTCCAATAATAAATACCATTGTAATTGGAAGACTTCCAGTTAACTCTATCTTATTTCGAATTTCTGCTTTCTCACCTGGAATTAAATCCATCAAATCTCCTGTAGTATTCCACATTTCAGGTTGAGTAATCATAGTTTCTACTAAACGTATGGATAAAGGTGCATACCCACTATAAGCGTAAGCTATATCATTTGGTTGCTGCTCTTGTAAATTATCATTCCATAGGTTAAAATGTTTTCGAATAGAAGAATAATTAGGGTTTTTGCTGTCATATTTTGTTATTAATCCACAACGTTCAAGAGAAAATAGAGCTCCCAAAACCCGAGGAATGCCATATGATAGTAAAAGATTTTCTTTTAAAAAATCATATGTTTTTACTTTAAGTCCGCCATTCACTACAGAATACATAGAAATAAGTCTAAGAACTTCCGCAATAGGGGCAGATTTGTTAATTAATTCTTCAATATATTCCAATACTTCTTTATCATTTATTTGTTGGATAATACTTTGTTCTATTGAAATTCGTTTACGAAAATCAATACCTTGAGTTTTTTTACCAATCTCAGCAGCTATAGTAGTATGAACTCCAATTAAACGATGCATTTCTTGCATTTCAGGTAATCCTTTCATAAATTCTTTTAATTCTTTTAGTTGTTGTACTTCCTTTCGTCGATCATAACTTTGTTTTACCCATACAGATTTATTATGAAGTGCAGATCCTACATTAGTAAAATTTTTGTCACGAATCTCTCTAAACATTCGGTCACTACTATTTAAAAAAATTTGTTGACCCATTTCAACTTTAGAGCCCTCACCCAAACTGAATGGAAAGGTAACATAACCACAATTCAAACCATAAAGTTCATCGATAAGACCTTCATAGGTGAGTTGAGTTAACATAGGTGTAATATAATCTAAAGATCTATCTAGAATTAATAATGATTCAATTTCTGGTGTAAGATCATTTAGAAATTCAGAACCCACTTCATTTTGCATTTGACTTAGCATATGTACTACTTTTGATGCTCTCGCCCCCTTACCTCTAATAAGGGAAATTGTTCCAAAACGTGAAGTTTGAAGTTTTAATAACATTCTCGCAATCCATTGAAGAATTGTAATATCTCCATCAACTAATAAATGCTTAAATGATAAAGGTTGTTCCATAGAAAGAATATCATCATCTAAAGGCACAATATCCAAATCAATTTCTTTTAACGATAGACCAGGCAAAGAACGTAAAATTTGAAATTCATTTTCAAGAACATGTTCAATCATAAGAGGTTTCCGTGGAACGAAAAAAACATGCAAAGAAGTTTTGGGATATTTTTGTGAATAAGCTAACAAATTCACTACTAAAAGCCTAAGAGTTTCCACATTAGGATAAACTATAAATAGAGCATGTTGTGCAGAAATAAAACCATCCTCACTCCCAAAAGGAAATACCCCTACAACTCCATGCTCTTTTGAAAAAATCTCTTTTGATACCCCAATAGCATCAAAGGTCGATAAAAGATGAGGAGAGACAAACAATACTTTTGTTGCCTGACCCCCTAAATCAAGACGTTCAAGAAGTGATAAAAGTTCAACCTTTGTCGTTTCTCGAATACTACTCAACTTGAGAACCTCACCCCCCGAGGTCATTCTCGACTAAATATATATATTTAGAAAAAAAAAAAAAAAACTTCCTTTTTTGGCCTTAAAGAAGTAAATAAGAAAAAAAAAAAAAGATGGATTTTTAATTTTTTTTTTTTTTTTAAACCAACTTTATCACTCGTTTATTTTTTTTTTTTAACGACAAATAAAAACAATCATACTCCAAAAGAGATAAACACAAAAAAAAATAAGAGAACTTATTAAATAATAATTGAGTTAGCTCGTCACCCAACGGAAAGAACCGACTATAAGTATTACTTTTTCAGGAATTGCAGAATGTGTGCTAAGAAGAAAACTGACACCTTGAGCATCAACACCTTGTACTCTAGCCAGAGCCATCGGCGCAAGTGAAAGAACATCCTTATCACGTAAAGAAGGTGATTCAAATAATGCACCAACACATCCAACAATACCTTCTAAGGCATTTTGCTCAACAACAGAAACCACTGCCTGACCATCAATATCTTTTAAAAGAAGTAATTCAATATTTGAAAATTTTTTATTTATTTCAGATGGTTGTAAATCTATAGCGCCTCCACCAAAAAAATATCTCTCCATGCAAGATGATAAACGTTCAGGTCCAGGATCCATTGGTGTAAAATGAAAAGATGGGGATATTCTATCAATCCTTGTATTAGTAGTAGTTCGAGAAGTTTTCATATCATGTGATTTCAAAATCCTCTCATGAAGACCACAAAAAAGAAAATCATCTCCAACACATAAAACATGAGAAATATTAAAACGTCTAATTAATTCTTCAACAAATAAAAGGCCACTAATACCTTTTAAATCTGGAAGAACAATTACTGCACCACTAGAACCACATACACCTCCCATTTGTTTAACAATTCGTTCACTTACACAAGACAATATTAAATGACTATAATGAGTATAAGGTGCATACATATTCCATTCTCCAGAAGAAGATTTTATTTGAGGTTCTGTTGATCCAGTAAAATAACAAACAGATGTAGGTCCTGATGAAATTTCTTCATCTAAAGTCATTGGATATTCAATAACACCTGTACTAACAGTTCCAGGAGTTGAAAGCATTTGAGATACACCAGGATCTAAGTCAACTAATTGTGGACACCACCCTGTTCGAGCAGCATAACTAGAAAGAGTTCTTCCAATAACATGTTTTTCAGTATCATTTTTTCCACAAATTAAAACCATTGGTCCAAAAAGTGCATTTTTGTCTGCTATATTACGAGCATCATGTATTATACAGTGATATTCAACTAGCGGTCTAACAAAAGAAGGTGTTGTAGAACGGTAACAATTCATAATAAGTTGTTTTGAACCTTCAATACGAATAGTAGCACCACTCCAGGCGAAAACAGTAAAAGTCATACCTGGTATTAAATTATAAGAAACGTCAACCAATGCAGGAGCACCAAGTACATCTACTCGAGGTTCCATTCCATTACCAACTGATATAACTTTAAGACTCGCAAAACATCGTTTAGTTTCATATGGTACTACAATTACCAATTCAGAACCCGAACTTAGACCAATAGTAACCACTTCAACACTGCTCATTTTCTTGCTTAAGAAAAAAAATAAAAATAATAAAATAAATATATCAAGAAAGAAAGAAAGCAAAAAGAATTAAAAAGAAATTCTTTTAAAGAATCAAAAAAAAAAAAAAAACAGAGAAAATGGAAAGGATTGTAAAAAATATATAAATATATATACATATATATATTTCATTTGTTAAAACCAGAAAGGATCACATCTTTCCACAAANGAACCCGAACTTAGACCAATAGTAACCACTTCAACACTGCTCATTTTCTTGCTTAAGAAAAAAAATAAAAATAATAAAATAAATATATCAAGAAAGAAAGAAAGCAAAAAGAATTAAAAAGAAATTCTTTTAAAGAATCAAAAAAAAAAAAAAAAAAAAAAAAAAAAAAACAGAGAAAATGGAAAGGATTGTAAAAAATATATAAATATATATACATATATATATTTCATTTGTTAAAACCAGAAAGGATCACATCTTTCCACAAAAAAAAAAAAAACAAGTCCATTTCGACCCACACGGCCCCCATGGGAAGGCCGCCACCCCGCCACCCCTCCAACCGATGGAAAACGCCCGCGTTCACATTTTTTTTTTTTTTTAATTTTTCTCTGTTACCCTTCCCGACCGCGCCGGAAAAATAAGAAGTCCCCCGCCGGAAGACGGTGCTCCGGATGGCGGGCCGCCGCCCGATCCCTTCGCCCCCTTAAAAAATAAAAAAAAGCGTGGCGCGCGTGTACGGGGACTCCGTCCTCTTCTGGGTTGGGGGCGGTGGCCGGGACGTCGACCTCCGGGCCGGCGCTGCCATTTGTGGGGGCCGCCTTTGGAAACAAGCTTGGTGTTTGTGGAATGGTTTGTATTGTGTGATGTGTTCGTGTTTGATGGTTATTTGGATTTTGTTTTTCTTTTTTTTTCTTTGATTTTCTTTTAGATTCTGATCTCTTTTTTTTTATTTTATTTCTTTTTGGTGCTTTTCTTTTTGTTTTTGTTTTTCTTTCTCCGTAAAAAGATTAATGATGAGATCTTCTTCGCGTTTTGCAATGAAACGGACGATCGCCTTGTTTTTGAGGTCTGGTATGCTGCAACGTTATGAGCAAGAGGCTTTTGAGGCATGTAGAAGACTTGAAGGATCAAAAACTTATCCTGGTCCTATTCGTGCAGCTACTCCTGGAGACACTCGTTTTTATGCTGGAAGTTTAGAATCTATTCTTCAAGATACTGATAGACATTATTGGAGAGCAGTAACAGATGATCCCCAGGTACAATACCTTATCCCATTACGCATACGATTCAAAATTTTTACTTGGGTCACTACTGGTTGGGAACAACGACTTCAAGTAGTTCAAATTTTGGCTCCAAGAGATAGTACTATTCGCCAGGTTATTGAATTGGTTACTATAGAAAATCAATCTCCTTATCTCTGTACATCACCTTTTACTCTTTCTATAGATGGAAAAGAATTGGATCCAGAAAAGAATTTATCAGACTATGGAATTACAGAACATTCCCGGATAGACGCAATTGAGAAGCAAGATCATTTGCTTCATAAAGATAGCGAACGTCCGAGAGATTGGACAATTGATGAGATGACATCAGAATATCTGGAAAGTAGCCCATATAAAGAAATGGGAATGCAGCCTCAACCTAATTTGGCACCCAGATATGAAGCACGACCCAAGGGCTACTTTGGAAAAAATAATTATAGCGGTATGAAGCAGGAATCTTAACGCTCTCTTTTTTTTTGCCATGGTGAAATTAACTTTTGCTTGGTAGTTTTTTCTCTTTAAGAAAAAAAAATATCTTTTTTTTCTTGTAAATTCATTTTTAAATAAAATTTTTATTCTGTTGGTAAATAATCTGTTTTGAGTTTTGTTTTGTTATTGTTTTCCCGCATTTTTCTTTTTTTTTTGGTGTTATGTTTTTTTTTTTTTTTTTTTACTTAATTGATAAAGCATGATGGATGTAAGGGAAAAGACTGATACAGTTTTAGCTTTTGCTGATGATGTTATTGCATCAATCGGTGTTGCTTCTTCAGTAACTGGAATCCAGTCATATTCTCAATTTGATAAATTAAATTCGATTGTGGTATGTTTTAATGGAGCTGATAAATCAATTCAAACAGAGCTTTTTTCTTTAAGTAAAGCTACTCAGAGCTATATATCTACAAAAAACACAGGAGTACAAGTGGCATCAGTGAGTGTTCATAAAGGTACACAAATCGATTTATCTCAATCTTCTGCGTCAACTCAGACAGATATGGATATTTCCGTTGAAGTTGTAGGAGATTTGTTAAGAAATGGCATAAACATGTTTTTTACAAAGTTGTTAAGGCTTGAGGGATTATGCATAAACTTATTGGGTCGTTTGGGTAACTGTGGCTCTGAGTTATGTAGATTGTCACATGTTGTGAATTCACTTAAGAATTCAGAAAAGCTTGCAAAAGAAAAATTAAATACGGCGCATGTGGCTTTAATGATAAGTTCTTTAGTGATGTTAGAATTAGAACATAGAAATTCTCTAATTGAAGAAGAAAGGGATTTACGCTACAATATAGTTTCTATCGCTCATAGTGCCGCGATGGCTTTTTATAAGGAGTCTGAAACAGCGTTTTTATTTACTAGAAGTGAATTGTTTGACAAGTTAGATTACATAGAAGTTCTACAAAAGCAGTTATGTGATCATAAAGAAGAAAATGGTAGTATGACTAATAATACTACAATTGCTATTTCTAGTACTAATACTACTAATATCATAGATACAAATGAAGGACGTGATTGTTTATCGGGAAGAAACTTTACGTGTTTTGAGGACGGTAATGATTCTATGAAGGATATGAAACAGTTGCTAACAGAGTGTTGGGTCCTTTTGGGACAAGATACATAGTTTATATATATATATATATATATATATATATATAT